TGATCCATAGACCTTAGCCTTAGCAGTCGTAGGCCTGTCTCTTATACACATCTAGATGTGTATAAGAGACAAAGACCCCCCTTCCGCTCCTTCCCCGGGTCCTCTGGTCCTCATCTTCTTCTACCAGCTTCACTCTCCCTTCACTCCCCTTCCCCCCCCATCTTCCCTTCCGCAGCCTCTATTCCCTTGTGGCTGGAGTTGGGCGGGGAAGAGTTTTAAAAAACCGGGGGCCCCAGGAAAGGTCGATCGTTGGCGTGCGTTCGTTAATGTGATACTTTTGTGTGAATCATTATGATAGGGGCGCAGTACTTGCTCTCGATAGTAATGTGATATCTTTATGTATTATATTATATTATATTTTTGTTCATCGTTTTAAAACTTTTTTTTTTGTGCTTTGAATCGTTCAATTCCCCTGTTGTTACCGTCAATTCCCATTCTTCATATTACGTAATTATTATGACGTGGCGTGTAACTCCTTGAAAAACGGAAAAAAACTGGGAACCGGATAATTGCTTACTACTACTCCTTTGACCGAATTGGTAAGTTAGGATCAATCAAGGTGAAGCGATTTGGACAAACGAAAAGTCAATTGGACAATCATCAAACCGAATTGGTCAGTTCGATTGTCCTATGTAGTACATTATGGGAACCGATTTGGACAGCCGATATAGTTTGGGAGAAGTGATGAGCATTTTGGACATATCAGATTTAGGTTGGGAGAAAGGATGAGCATTTTGGACATACTGGATATAGGTTGGGATAAATGGTGACCACTTTGGACAAGATGATTTAACAGTTTGGACGCATGACGGAGTTAGGCAGATGGAAATTAGTATTGGCAAAAACACATTTAGTTCAACAGTTCTGCGCACACCATCGGGACCAACAAAGATATCAATTTAGTGAAGCGATTTTGCATGTTAGTCACTTGCGTCTGAATCACGGGCCTGCAGCTCCCGTAAACTATCCACCCGCAGCACACACGTGAGTGACGCACGATTTTCTGTGGGGCCCACCAATTTATGCGCTGGTCAGTCTAAATTGTTCGGTCCTTTGACGGAAGGCACAGTGAGCCTGTCCAACTTTCTAGAATACCTTTCCATATCGATTCACAAGGTGTCCAATTCTAATCTACGGTTCCAAGAAGCTTCTATGAAAATCTAAAATGATTGGACTATACGGCCGATTCCAATCTACTGGTCCAAGAAGCTTCTACCAAATTCTAAATTGGTTCGCCGTTTCTCTAACCTAGGCGCGCTCAACTAAAGTGATAAAGAAAAGAAACCAATACGATCTTGTTTATGACCGGAACCCGGCAGGGCGTGCCAATTTCGGTTCACCAGATGTCCAAATAGCGGCAGTATGCATCTAGCTTAACTGGTCAAAGGAGTAATAAGCCTGTTTCTTCTTCTCTTCCCTTCTTTCCTTTGTGCACGGAGGAAAAAAAAGAAAGAAAAAACGTGTTGCTTGTTTGGAGTCAGTCTATTTTTCCTTTTCTCTTTTTCTGTCCATGTACTAAGAAAGCATCTCCGATATAAAACCGATGAGAATACAGAGGAGGAGGAAGAGCATCCATTGCCACGTGCATGATCAATCAATCAATCAAAGAGCATGGCTGCTGCTGCTGCCGCTGCTGTTGCATTCTATGTAGGTATTCAAAGGGGGAGAGCATGCAACAGGCAGAAACACATATGCATAGGATGAATGGGTACGTGTACACGCTCCTGCCTGCTGCATGGCGGCTCCTCTGCATTTTTCACGGGATCAGCCCCAAGTTCTGCCATAGACGTTCCTGATGAAATGGTGTACTGGTGGGGTGCAGATTGACGATGAATGACTGGCATGCCAATGCGAACACATGCATGATTGCCTCGTCATTAATTAACCCGTCATGGAAGAGAAGGGAAAGGGAAAGGGAGAGGAGGGGGGGGAGGGGGAATAAAAGCAGATAGCTCCTACTGCTCATTCTGGTGACATCGACTAACTTGAAGTCCTTTGTTTGCTAAGAAAAGGGAAATGTGTCGTTTCCATGCAAGTTCGGTTCTCGTGAACCAGCGGTCGTTCTCCAGGTCCTAATAAGGGAACCTGTTTCTATGGATGACCTCTACCTCCAGTTCTGAACACATCCTCTTCCACAATGCAGTCTATATCATATGCGCCATCCATATCCGGCGGAATCATCAATCGACGCGACTGAAATTGCTGACTGGTGACACAAGGTAACAACTTGGACGCATGGAAGATTGGTTATGTGTGGAGGTATCTCTATCGTGTAGGAAGGTCTGACCTCTCCGCCTTTCACTTTTAGGACAGACCACGGTCCCCTATACACTGGTAACAACTTTTGTGAGATGTTCTCTTCTGGGGCGAACTCCTTAGACTTGACCCAGACTAAATCACCTACCTGGAACTGCGATGGGCGACGATGCTTATGAGCTTGCTCTATCATCTTGTGCTGAGCTTTCCTCAGATTCTCGGTCACCCTTGCGATTTCCCTCTCATGCTGCAGCGCAAATTCTCTGGTTCCCGATGGCAGTCTCTGTATTTGGTCACGATTGAGTCCTTCAAATGGCCTGCGTGGTTTAAAGGACTTGTGCAGTTCATTCAGAGTTCGACAAGTAGCTAGATGGACACTGTTATTGTAGGCGCTAGCTACTTTAGGAAGCATCTCATCCCAGTTAATCTGATCAGGCCTAATGTACATCCTGAGCTTTTGCTGCAGGATCTTATTCATCTGTGACCGTTGGTCTCTAGATGGCGACTAGATGACATCAACAACTTGGAGCCATAGACTCTCATAAGTTCCTGCCAATGCTGACTAGTAAACCGCGTATCTCTATCGCTAACTATAGATAGCGGAATACCGTGCTCACTTACGCAGGCATCGAAAAACTTCTCTATCACTAACTCTGTACGTGCCTCGGAGGGCAAACGAACAAAAGCTGCGTACTTGCTAAATCGGTCAACTACAACCATGACTTAGCTTTTCCCATGCCTACTCTTGACCCCAGCATCCATAAAGTCAATGGACACAGACTCTCCGGGCCCGAAGGGATAGGCAAGGGTCAAAGAAGACCCAACGGGGCCTGCGTTGTAGTTTTGTTGCGCTGGCATACTTTACAACTACGGACATACTCTATGCAGTCAGCCTTCATGCCAGGTCATGTATAGGCACGTATTAGGTTGGCTAATGTCTTTTGCCAACCGAAATGCCCTTTTGTATCGCGACATTCCCTTAAGATCAAACTCCAGATTTCTTCACTATTGACTCTCTTGAGGAGATCACTGTAAATAGGGTCGTGCGCGTACGCATCTCTAACTTTCTGTTGTAAATCAGTCCCTATATACAGGTAGTGAACTATAGCCCCAAAGTAGTCGACTCTCCTACTCAGAGCATCTGCAACCACATTGTACTTTCCTTTCACGGGTTTCAACTCAAAGTCAAACTGGTCTACCTCTGCGGCCCACCTGGTAAGCTTAGATATCATCTTGGCCTCAGTCTTCATCCACCTAAGTGTCTCGTGGTCTGAATAGACTTTGAAGTGCCTCCCAAGCAAGTAATGTCTTCAGTGGCCTAGTGCTTGTTTGAGAACGTAGAGTTCCCTCTCGTAAGTAGAGGATGCTACCTTTTCTAAAGGCAACCTAACAGACATGAACTTTACGGGTCTATACCCATTGCCATCATCTTGCTGTAGAACAACACCAATACCGTACTGACTTGCATCAATAGTAACGACAAGGGTAAGGATAGATCAGCTACCGTGAGGACTGGGTACTCTATCAAGGCCCGTTTCAATTTCTTCAGGGCCGATGTATAGTCTTGGTCCCACTTCCAGATCGCTTTTTTGTTTAGTAGTTTGCGAAGGGGGGCAGTGATGGCAGAAAAGTTTCTAGCACCAAAGAGACTACAACACATACATACATGAGCCATGAAGCAACTAGGAAGGAACCGCCACACCACAAAATAAGAGAAAGACTGAACTGGCACCAAAGAGACTACAACACACACATACATGAGCTACGGAGTAACTAGGAAGGAACCGCCACATCACCAAATGAGAAGAAGACAAAACTTGCACCAATGAGACTACAACATACACATACATGAGCTATGGAGCAACTAGGAAGACACCGCCACATCGCCAAGTGAGGAAAGACTGATCTTGCACCAATGAGACCAGAACATACTCATACATGAGCTATGGAGCAACTAGGAAAGCACTGGTATATCACAAGGTGAGAGGAAGGCTGAACTTGCACCAATGAGACTACAATACACACATACATGAGTTATGGAGCAAGTAGGAAAGCACCGGTACTTAGCTCAGAAAATGCAGGAATTGAAACTAACTCCTATAGCTCTAGCACATGGCGAGCAGCTAAAGAAACTACCGATCAAACTGGAACTCAAACTAAGTAGTAATCTCAGTCAGCCACATGCAAGCCAAACCACAAAGGTAAGTACTCTCACCATCCCAAAATCAACCTTATTAAACAATAGTTCATGATTTTTCAATGATTTATCCCCTTTATACCCAACTTACATAAGGCATAAAGCTAGACCACCCAATCTTATGGGAACCTGTCTAGCTCAGCCATGGAATATACACAAACACAAGGCACAACAACTTTTCTCTTCTTTGGGCATATGACTAGGTTCTAGGTTAGCCAACCTAGTCGC